AGGACCCAAAAGCTAAAAATAATGTATCAGCGTTAAAATTTAAATTTATAGCAAGGCCGCGAGGTGTAGATGCTGATTGAAACATGTGGGAGGTGATATTAGCAGCTTTAACTCCGTCGAATGACAGACTAAATGATCTGCACTGTAAAAAATAAGAGAAAAATCCTTCTCACCTTAGCACGACATTCAAGATGCACTCCAGGAACCGACAATGACGTGATTAGCATTGTTATACAACGTAGCAGAAATACAGTACCGACTAAAGAGAACATTCGCCGCATTATAACTACCCTAAAAAAATATGAAGGAGAAAAGTGACCTAACTCTGATAACAATTCCAAAACTTTTTAAGTAGAATGGAGTGCAATTCATGAAAAACAATTGGATTTCGTAAAAAGAGGTCTCCTCTCAACGCTTTGCCGCCTCATCGTGGATCGGTGTTCCTCGATGTTGGGCTGCGATGTACAGTGAGGGAATCATCTCCCTGGCAGAGTCTGTCAAGATGAGAAGGAGCCTAGCGTTTCCATCGGGAAGACCAGCTAAGATTAAATCAACACCAGGATGCGTCGCTGTTCTGGTACCAAACTAGTCCCATGGTGGCAAATTTCCCCCTGATCCACAAGGGCGGCGACTGCCTGTGGTGGTGACGTACTGGGGCAGACCCTGGTCTGGCTGACCTCGGGACTCCAGGAAACCACAAAGACTAAACCAGCAAAACTCCGTAAAAACGGAGAATATGCTGGGGCCCGCACAACCAGTGAGGACGGACCATCCAAACACCCAAGTAAAAATAGTTCTAACTAAAGTTCACAAACGAAAAGTGCATACAATTTAAAGATGAAGAACTACCTATGCTTGTGAAATAAGAGTATTGTAAACCAAATTGCGCAGAGGGCTACACCAATAAACTCGCACATATCAAATGCCCAAGGAATTAGTGGCAAATTGTCGAGCACGATATCAGGAAGAGGCGGATACATCTTCATATCTGAAAGAATTACTATTCTACACGGAATAGAATAAACTGAAACCTTTGGACACTGATTATAGCAACAAACAACTTCACAATAACTAGTTGGTCTATTGTGGCCAGTTCCTAAATGCAGAAATGCGATGTATAGTACGTTGCTCATCCACAACAGAGTCGTTGAGGCAAAGAAGAGTTCATTTCTACTAGGATACCTAGCTAGAAGTAAACCTTTCCTGGGAAAAGAACCATTCTACCAGGCCCCTGTCCTGGCAAAAACCTAGTCACGAGAATCCAAACCTCCCTACGATCCATAGGGCCGGATACTACCGTTGATGAAGAACTGGTAACGCAGTAATACTTTTCTCTATAATCAAAAAAAGCCAGGCAAATTTGGATAAGAGAGAATAGCACCTAAATGAGAGTTCTTACGGCTCTTGAAACACTTGTGAGCATAATCCATCAAATTTCTCAAATAATAAACAGTGGATTTTGAAATGACCTGGATGGGCGACTAATTTAGACATCCTTAACTTCCTTCAGTCCACATTTCCCTCGCTTTACTCCAAATCTACTAGGCCTATGCCTCATTATAATGGTAATTTCTGGAAAGATTAACACTTCTGACTTTTAGCAAAACATTGACATCGTGGTGTAAAAATCTCTAAGTGAGCAAACAAATCCAATTGAGAGAGTGACCTTACCCGGAACACGATCATGAACAAGAACCATAACAAAAGCTGTAATGAGTAGTGATGATAAGCAATAGAGGAAAGCAATAAGCAATTTGGCAAGACTTTTCCCTTTCGTGTCAGGGCTCTCAACAGTCCGTATAAGCTGCAATAACGTACCATAATGTGAAGAGTTTAGATTCACTAAAAAAAAGTACGTATTCTGTTATATAACATACATTGAAATAGGCTTGAAACAAATCAAATCTTGAAAACTTAAAACAAGAAAGCGCAAAGGCAACAATGAAAAGCGATTTCCTTTTATAACAAAAAAGGTAAACTAATCAATGTGATATTAAGGCATACTTCATCCCTGGATATAAGACGTACTGAGTGAATATCACCGGAATTCGATAATGTATCAATGACAGCATCATCTCTGAAGAAAGGATATGAATAAAAAACAAACTAGATGGCACTAGTAGATAGAAAACTAGCTGAGAAATAGGCGAAACGAAGGACTCGCATGGTGTGGTGGTGAACGCGTTAGCCAAGGAAAGGGTAATAGCGGCGTGTTTGGTCCGCACCACAGACACCTGCGGTCCGGAGTCTTGCAAATATCGCAGCATCATTGTGGTTGTGTAAAACAAACTGTTCAAAAACCCCTCAAGAAGTTATCAGAAGCTGAAAGGCTACATATCAGCTGAGACAGACTCAATGGTCAACTTGTGGCACAAGAAAAAAGAAACTCACATAATTGCGCTCTGTTTCGTCCTCACAAAGACATCTTCCCCTGATATAGACATTTTTCTCCGTTGGTCGTACTCTACACATAGTAATACGTCATCCTGTGATGCTGATTCGGATACCCGTGGCGAAGGTTGAATGGAATTATTGTGGCACTGAAATTTTCAGCTTATAGTACAAAGTGACCCGAGCATTTTATAACCACGTACATTTCTTAGGTTATAAATAGCACGTCCGAGTCTCTTTATATCACCAAGGCATTTGATTTGTAAAGGAGGATCCCTCAAATCGAGTTCAGAAAGCATGAGAAGTGTGGCACCGTCAATCTGAAACAGCCGCTAACACAACAACGTTTTATTAGTTATACAAATACGGCATGCTCTTTAGTAAAAGTCATAACTTGTAAAATGTTGTCGTTCTGAAGAATCGAACAGTACCTTACTTTAATATTGCTTTCAACAGTTTTTATTTCACTTTTAAACGACCCGACACCACAGATATTGTGCAGATCACAGTACTTCTTGCTTGATTTGATTCGTTTCCCTATCACTAAATCCCATGAAGGTCATCGGATTCGCGAGTGTGTTCGGCTGCTGTCTTAGGATCTTTGGTCTTGACGTCGTTGAATTCTGGAGTGGAAGCAGGGCTCTGTGCATATCGCATCACTACTACGCTAATTCCCCACCTGTTTTGACAATAAGAGAATAGAAAAGAGGAAATGGACTAGCAGCAGCACATTAGTCTCACCTTATGCTGAACGGCGAACAGATCTGCGTACTGATGAAAACCAGTATTGTGCAACCAAACAGACACATCTTTGGTGGTCCATTCCAAAACTGAAGACACGGTAGGGTCCGCATCGTTCGTCACCGGCGGCGAACGTATCGCCTTACGTACCATCACCTCTAAAAAGGCCATGAAATAGAAGAATAGGAAAGCACTCGAGTGATCAGTTAGGTGTGGGAAAGGAGAGATCAGTTGTAAAGAATAGAATATCACAGAACATAATGCAAGAAATAATAACAGGATAGTAATCCAAGCAACCATTACACCCACAGCACAACAAAGCCACAGGAAACTTTGACCCTAAAAACATTAAAGTCAACAATTTTCAAAATGACCGTCATATAACCTCCCTAGTAGTGATCAGTACCTATCAATACCTTCTTGGATTGTTGAGGTAACAGGATCTAGCTGCGGACCATCGCCTCCGATGAAGACGAAGACATCAAAACGTTAGCCGAGTAACTTTCGTTATTAACCTCGTGTTAGCTTAACAATCTAAGAAGGTATTAAAATTTGTTGGCGAAAGAAAAACGACCTACTCTTAATTTATGGATTACATAGGTCAAAATAGCACTCGTTTCAAGAAAAATTAGTGCTGAGAAGAAGATAATAGAGATGAAAAAGGTGAAATGACTTAGAAGCCAAAGAGTTCGTCGAGGTAATCGATGGGAAATACTCTTACACTTGATTAAGACAGAAAAGTAAGCAAAACATTAGCATTTAATCCCAGAACAACTGTTCAAAAAGAAAATCACTGAAGGATGACCTTCATATACCTTTGCTTCAAGATGGTTTCAAAGCTTCGATTTTCTCTAAGTTTCTCGATGGACGAGTTACAGACATAAACCTTAAGACACTTAAGGAACACCTAAGTAAATCCTTACTATAGAACTTCTTCTGCTATTGGCATTTGAAAAGAACAGAACGATCAACGTAGGGCTCTAGGGTCTAACCGTAGGGTTCGAGTTAGCCATAGAGCACAGAAGTGATGGGATTTAGCAAGCAATAACGCCGAACTTTGTAGGTTTTTCGTGGTAACTATGGGTATATAACAGAATCAACTTTGTATATATACTTATGTCCATAGTTGTATGGCCGATAGTGCGAAGTTCAGTACATTTTCTTTTCTTTTTACCTGTCCAGCGATTGTCGTCCATGGCGGTGATCTGCTCTGGACATCGTGGCGCCTGCGAGCACCATCCGATGATTCAGAAATCACAATTTTAACTTATTATTTACTGCCTACTCTTTTTTAACGGTAGGGTATGCATTGTGAAATGTGAAATGTTCTGAGAGACAAGCGAAACGAAGGACCCGCATGGTGTGGTGGTGAACGCGCTACTCCCCGGAAAGGACAATAGCGCCTTCGTTCTCCACTGCAATCACCTGCGGCGGTCCGGAGTTTTGCAAATATCTCAGCATCATTGAAGTTACATTCAGAAATCGCTCCCTTTTGCTAATGCAAATGGTTGAGGTCGGGCTTCAACACGTCCAATTATGGTTTATTATACATACATGTAAATAAAATGATAAATTTCCAGTGTTGATCAATCCCTGAAAGATGCACCATGCATTCGACTTGCTTAAGCATCGTTAGAGATAACTGGTCTATACAATGACTCGTGGTGGTTTGCCGATGTATCGGGCCAGTGCTACTATCCTCCCAGACAAGTCCAAAATCGATTTCCCGACTCCTGTGGTATGGAAGGCTGGGTGAGCCTGTGACGCGGGATAGATCCTATGTGTATTGCAGGGCGCCTCAATGCACTGCGCTACACGCACCCCACTATACCTACTTATACATATGTATATGTACATACATATACATGTACACACGTATATATATGCATACGTGTGTATACATAGACATACACGTGCTTATGTATGTCTCAATACAAGAACAATAATAATATTGATAATAATGATAGTAAACAATGGTCTTCCGTCCCGAGAAGGCGTTTATAGCCTCTTGGAGTCCAATTCACAGATCTCTTTGCCCATCCATCCATCGCCTGTTCTTCTTATCATATGACTACCCCATCTTCGAAGACCAGAACTTCGCATTCCGGCTAGAAGTTCGGTTAGAGTCGGTTCGGTTAGAGTCAGTATCGGTTAGATTTCAGAAGACATCGTTCAAGCGCTCTATCGGTGCTGCGTAGACTTCTCTATGTGGTTGAAGTATCAGCCCACGTCTCTGCTACATAACAAAGCTCTGAGAGGTCCGTTGAGTCGAAAAGGTGAGCGCGGAGTTTTAGGTCCGTTAGCTGGTTGGTGGCTTTATGGAGTTGCTCGAATGTTGCCTATGCTGATTTATTTTTTCTGTTTCTTGCTTATTTTTTAACTGAAGTTGCGCCTTCTCGTTTCACCAAGTGAGTTCATTATCCACTACACTGAGGTAGTAAACAGCTTTGACGATATTGTATCGAATTGTCTAACCGCTTTTCCTGTGGCTACAGTAAGGGAGCGATGGAAAAGCTGTATTTGATAGCGCAGTTTTCTTAGTCAGCTAGTGTTCTAATACAGGACGGGTTTACTTCTTGGGTGAAGAGCAATAATAGGATTGTAGTCGTTTTGACGATGTTAAGCTCTTTGTCTTTGTTGATGAAGGTTAGGATAAGAGGCAGATAATAATTCCCGGCAGGGCCATATGACCTTCAACATGGCTTGGATGTAGTAGATGCAGCAGAATCTCAGTTATAATTCCGCTTGATTAACTGGTTATGCCTCACTGAAGCTCTTTGATGTGCTCAAAAGGATAACATTGGCAAGCAGCATGTGGAATACACTCAACAAGCATAGCGGAGATAGACTGTTTTCTTGAAGAGCAAACGCGAGGTTACAACAGTAAGGTTTATTTAATACAATACCGGCTGGAGTTTTGGCGGTTTCGCTTTCTTCGGAACCTAGAAGAGTCAAATTGGCAGGAAATTCACTCAGTCAAAACACTATCGAAACCTCAGTAGACAAAACATAATATCTCTAAGTGGAAAATTTCTTTTAAGCACTCACGGTTTTTCTTTTGAGTTGTTGAACAACAAAACGGTGAATTTTTATGAGAAGCTGTTCACTATGCGAATAAGCATTTATGTACTAAGCTTTGTTCGCTGAGGTTATAGTAGTGTTTGACTGAGTGGAATGTGTATCAATTTCACTCTGATGCAAACTCTGAAAGGACAAAACCTCCGAAACGTCAGCTAGAATTCTATCAGATAAATCTAGTTGTTAACAGCCTCGTATTTGTTCACCAAGGAAACAGTGTATTATTGGTGAACGACGAGGTTAAAAGAAGGTCGGTTCTGGAATTATCGGAAGATAGTTGCGAAGACACCTTCGATCACCATTTCTGGACAAAATATCCGCGCTCGACGTCCTCTACCGGTATCGGATCTTCTCCTTTTAAGGACACGATGTCGCATGGGTTGCAAGAAGCAGATGTAATTTATGGTTTTCACCAGCTCGAAGAATGTTAGCTGCAATATTATCGAGCTCTGGAGCTGTGCCTCTCTTCATTCTTTTTACCTCAACTCGAACCTCAGAGGGAAGAATTTCGGGCTGTTCTTCTCTAGCAGGAATTTCGAATTCCGAGTATGAAGGGAAAAGACTGGTACGGAACTTTTCTGTCAGAAACTTTAAATAATTACTGGACGTGGTATTAGTACCGCCTTCTTACATCAGAATTGATAGCTAACATCATACTTACACTGGTTTCGACTGCAATTCCTTAGAGTGTTTCGTTTTTGGCCTAATTTCAATAGCTTTTTGAACCCGTGTCGATGCAAATGTTTTTGCAAAGATCTTTTACAACTGGTATTTATTATCATCCTTATTTGGTGTTTTGCGATAAGATCTGGCTTCAGTGTCCTTCTCTCTTTGAGCAACTGCTCAGTGGTCTCAATTTCTTTATTGAGCAAGTGAGCAGAGCATGGTACAAGTTTTAAATTCTTCAAAAACGAGCTTGTAGTCCTCGGGTGGGTGTTACTTATATGACGGTCATATGACTAGGATGTCTCATTGAGATTTTTCCCGTTATGTACGATCTTACTTATTTTTCTTGGGCGATGACAAGATTATCCAGCGAAAAAGGCCGTGTTCGGATCCTGAGCAGAATCCAGGTACCAGTGCAGCTTCAAAGTGTCTCCATCTTCTCTTCGTGAGAATATGGTCGATTATCGGCATTCGAACCATCTCCGCTTTTCTGATGACATCGTTCTTGTAACACCAAACATTAGCCAAACGGAACGAATGCTTAATGGCTTTGATAAAACTTGTAGAACGATTGGTTTTCGACTAAATCTCACAGAAACGATGTTCATGAGAAACAGATTGGTTTTTATGCCCTATTCATGATCAACGGAACCAAAATCTCCGAAAGCTCCAGTTACGTCTACATGGGTCGGGAAATCAACACGATTAGCGAATTTGCTCCAGAGTTCAGCAGAAGGAAATGAGCGGCTTGGTGAGCTTTCAAGAGCAATGAGAGTGTAGTGAAGAGGACAAAGAATACCTGACTCCGTGCCCACTTTTTCGATTCAGCGGTACTTCCTGTCCTAATGTATGCGTCAGCAACCTGGTCGCTGCTTAAGGACTCGTTATCGAACGCGCAGTCGAAAGGACGATGCTATGACTGTCCCGTGTCACATAAGTAGGGAAAGAGACCCGAAGCTCTGACTTACGTCAACGATCCAAAATCAAAGATGTCGTTCTCTATTCCAAACAGTGGAAGATAAGGCGGGCCGGACATGTAATTAGTATGAACGACAACCGATGGACAAGAACCGTTAGTTGAACTTCTCGGGATGTCAAACGTGGTGAAGGAAAATCACCGATCCGATGGTCAAAGTTCTTAACAAAGCCCCCAGAAAAATAGTATGGTGCTGATCGAGCCCCTGGAGCGAGAAGAACCCACTGGACTAGTCTTATACGGGACAAATGGAAACGGAAGATTTACTGGCGCACACTCGAGTCACTCAACGACCACTGAGGCGACGGGTGACAGGGTACAAGTGTCCATGAATTTAATCCTGAATTCTGCAATAATTCCTCCCTTTGTACTTGTCGTCTTTAGCGTACATACGCGCTAAGTTTAATTCATGTGTTTGTTTCTTTCCACTATA